TTGTATGTACATATAGGGTATATAATTTTTACATGTATACATGGTGTGTATAAAAAGTATCGGGAACATTTTTTTCCTAACGCGACTGTAACTCGCAGCGTGTTCGCACCAGGCGGGCTCAATAGTGGGGATTCTCAGCTTCAAAATGCACTAGGTGTCAACCGCCTGCGAGCTTCCGTGCGAGGTGCATCGCTGATTTAGTCAACCTTTGTCGAGGGACTCGGTGCAAGCTCCAAAATGCAGCGAACTCTTGAACAGCGTTACGCAGTTAAGTTCTGTGTTGGGCTGGGAAAATCTGGTACAGAGACATTGGCCATGATTCGGCAAGTGTTCGGGAGTGATAGTCTATCGCAAACTGCAGTTTTTAAGTGGCACAAGTTGTTCAAAGATGGCCGAGAGAGTGTGGAGGACAAACCCCGCGCGGGACGCCCGTCAACGTCAAGAACCGACGACAACGTGCAACGTGTGCGTGATGTGTTGAACTCAAACCGGCGGTTAAGTGTTCGAATGATCGCAGACCAAATAGGCATTGATAAAATGATTGTGCACACCATCATCACCGAGGATTTGGCGATAAGAAAGATCTGCGCCAAGTTCGTCCCGAAAGTTTTGACAGACGACCAAAAGCAGAGGCGTGTGTCTGCTTGCGAAGATCTTTTGCAACGCGTTGAAGAAGACCTTGACTTTTTGGACAACGTGATAACGGGGGACGAAAGTTGGATTTTTGAATACGACCCCGAAACAAAACGTCAGAGTGCCGAATGGCACACTGCAGCATCCCCTCGTCCAAAAAAGGCTCGAATGAGCAAATCCAGGGTGAAAGCCTTGCTCATTGTTTTCTTTGATGTCAAGGGTGTGGTCTACCAGGAGTTTGTACCTCCGGGGCAGACAGTCAATGGTGCCTTTTACCTGGAAGTGCTGAAAAGGTTGACAAGAAGGGTCAACCGAGTGAGGCCCGCCATTGCCGCCAATTGGAAACTGCATCACGATAATGCACCAAGGCACTCCTGCTTCCTGGTAACCGACTATTTGATCAAGATCGGCATCACAACGGTTTCCCAGCCTCCCTACAGTCCCGATGTGGCCCCGGCGGACTTTTTCCTGTTCCCCAAAGTGAAAACCACCTTCAAAGGACGTTACCATGGGACCCTACATACCGTCAAACAGGCTTGCACGCGTGCTTTGAAGGACATTGCGGAGTCCGACTACCAGGGAGCCTTCGAAGCGTGGAAAAGTCGCTGGCAGAAGTGTGTCGACGCTCAAGGATCTTACTTTGAAGAATTTTAATAATTTGTAGCGATATCTTCAATAAATCTGTTTTTCCAAACTTTTTCCCGATACTTTTTATACACACCATGTATTTGTAGCGTATGTATGTGTGTGTGTGTGTGGTGTGCCTACAAATTTACAATTCTACACAGTTCTGTATAACTTTATAGTTTTAGACATTATTTTAGATGAAACAAATGGTAATGTCAAAAATTTTGCTTATTTATAATTGTGTACAATTGTATGTGTGTGGTGTGCGCCTCTCTCTCTCTCTCTCTCTCTCTCTCTCTCTCTCTTTCTCTCTAGCGTGCGTGCGATATATTTTTGTATGTATATTTGTATGCTTATATAGGGTTAAGGCATATATTGTTATGTTTGTGTATATATAACTTTATAGATTTAGACATTGTTTTATATGAAACA